GTTTATTTGGATTACCGCTGTTGTTTAGAGGTATGTGTTTTATCCCTTTTCTGTTAAGTGTTTATCATAAATTGATACTGAATTTTGTCAAGGAAGTTTGTTAATAGATACATCCAGATGATTTTTATCTATCACTTTTTGTTTGTGTGGGCCACACCTGGTGCTCAGGGCTTACTCCTGAGTCTGTGCTCAGGGATCACTCCTTGGTGGGTCTCATGGATACCAGGGATCAAATCTGGATTGACTGTGTTCAGGGCAAGTGCACTACCTACTGTACCCAGCCCCTATCTGTCCTTTTGCTGAAGTGTATTAACATTAGTTTATTGGAATTGCATGAACTTTTCATCCATGAAAAAACTCCACTTATTATTTTTGCAAGGTTCACCTAGAAAACATTATATACACTGCGATAGTCCTTTATCTTATATTTTATATATGTTTTGATATAAATTCAATTTGATATCTGGGTTGTTTGAACATTTTTGTGTGCTTGTTTGTTTTGAGGCCAGACCTAGCGATGCTCAGAGCTTACTCCTTGATCAACATTGAGGAATTACTCATGGTGATGCTTGGGGGACCATATGGGATGCTGGGGATTGAACCTTGTCAACCACATGCAAGGCAAATGCCCTACTCTGTACTATGACTCTGACTCCACGTTTGAACTTTTAGCTAGTATGATTAATGTTATGAATATACATGTACAAGGGATTCTTTTTGGATTCTTTTATTTTTTATTTATTTTGTTAATGGAATTCTTGTCCCTATGGAGATTTTATTTTTTTTAATTTTTATTAGTGAAACACCATGAAGTACAGTTGTAGAGTTACAAATTTTTGTGCTTGGGTTTCAATTATACAATGATCAAATACCCATCCCTCCACCAGTGTCCATTTTCCACCACCCTGGGTCCCAGTATCCCTCCCACCCCCCATCCCCCCATCCCACCCTGCCTCTGTGGCAGGGCATTCCCTTTTGTTCTCTCTCTCTCTTATTGGGTGTTGTGGTTTGCAAAAGAGGCATTAAGTGGCAGTCATGTTCGGTCTATAGTCTACTTTCAGCATGCTTCTCCCATCCTGGGAGGATCCTCCCAACACCCTTTATTTGGTGCTCCCTTCTCTATCTGAACTCCCTTTTCCCCTAGCATGTGTGGCTGGCCTCCAAACCATGGATCAAACCTTCTGGAACTAATCTCAGCTATTCTTGGGTGTTAGTCTCCTGTTTTGTTACTTTATGTTCCCCAGATGAATGCAATCTTTCTATGTCTATCCCTCTCTTTCTGACTCATTTCGCTTAACATGATTCTTTCCATGTAGTACCACTTGTGTGTAAATGTCATAACTTCATCTTTTCTAACAGCTACATAGTATTCCATTGTGTAGATCTACCAAAGTTTCTTTTACCAGTCATCTGTTCTTGGGCACTCATGTTTTTTCCAGATTCTGGCTATTGTAAAGAGTGCTGCAATGAACAAACAAGTGCAGATGTCACTTCGACCATACTTTTTTGCCTCTTTGGGATATATTCCCAGGAGTGGTCTTGCTGGGTCAAATGGGAGCTCAATTTCTAATTTTTTGAGAATCGTCCATACTGTTTTCCAGAAGGCATTCCCACCAGCATTGAAGGAGGGTCCCATTCACGCCACATCTGTGCCAAAGCCAGTTGCTTTTGTTCTTTTGGATGTGGGCCAGTCTCTGTGGTGTGAAATGATATCTCATTGTTGTTTTGATCTGCATCTCCCTGATGATTAATGATGTAGAGCATTTTCTCATGTGCGTTTTAGCCATTCGAATTTATTGTTTGAGAAAGTTGCTGTTCATTTCATCACCCCATTTTTTATGGGGTTGGATGTTTTCGTCTGTGGAGTTCAACCAGTACTTTGTATATCCTTGATATCAACCCCTTGTTGGATGTGTATTCGCCGAATATCCTTTCTCATTCTGTAGACTGTCTTTGTATTTTGGTCACTGTTTCTTTTGAGGTGCAGAAGCTTCTTAGTTTAAGGTAGTCCCATTTGTTTATGTCTGTTCCACTTGGTTGTTCAGTGGCATGTCATCTTTAGCTTCAATATCATGGAGGGTTTTGCTGACCTTGTCTTCAATGTACCTTATGGATTCTGGTCTGATGTTGAGGTCTTTAATCCATTTTGTTTTTACTTTTGTCATGTACAAGTTTTTATAAAAAGAGTTGTTTACAGATCTCTTGCATATGCGTAGCTGTCAATTGAAAACTTAATGATTTAAATGTTACATTTTTTGGTTTTTATTGGCATTATAGTACATGGTACCTTTAAATATTGTCAGATTCCATCTCTGTAGTATATCTGTTTAAATTGATGGCATATACATCAAATAATTTTGGTAAATTTAACATAAGTATAGTAAAAATACAATTTAGGTTTTAAAAGAAATGTAATATGCTATATTATCATTCAGGTTGAGGAACAAGACTCAGACTTCAATATTTGATATCCTCTGGCCTTTGAATTTCTTAAATTTTAGTCTTATCAAAGAAGAAATCAGTCAGTCCAAATTGTTAAATTATGATGAGACTGTATTTGTCAAATAGTATTATTTTTATAATTTTATTTTTACTAAAATAATCCAACTAATAAATTGAGAATTTATATAGATTTACTTCCAATAATCATAAAGTACTTTTTGCTAGACTTAAGTTGTCTAATTTTAATGATATTGTTTTATGCTTTATGTTTTATTTGGAGATGAATTATTTACTAATACCAGATACTTCATTGTCTTTTTATTTCATATTGTGATGTCTTATATTCAAGAAAATATTTAGTAAAATGAATAGAATTTGGGACTTTAATGCAAGGAAAAAATCTATTTTGATCTGTTTTGATCTATTAAAATTTATCGTGATATTTTTTCTCTCATTGAAAATAATTCTTAAATACTATGGAAGTATTCATATTAAATAGCCAAGTTAAAATAGCTTTGCGCTGTAAAATATTTCTGAATTTCTTTTTTACAACTATTTTGAAAGCCCCAAAATACTTTTAAGATGTATCAAATTTTAAACCGAGGTAGTAAAAGTTTAGAAATTGATCTATTTAGATACTCTTGAAATTTGATTTTTAAAAGGTGGTGCAATTGGTATTGGAATATTGAATGCCCGTAACAAATCATCATGAACAACTTTGTGACCCACAATGTTTAAATCAAGTGAAGAAAAAAGAGCACTGAGTTCATCATTTTACATTTGTGTTTGTTATGGTGCCACACCCAGCAAATCCTGATGGTACTCAGTGGGCGTCATTGGGGTGCCAATGATCAAACCCAGGTCAACCACAATCATTCATGACACACAAGGCAAGCACCTTACTTGCTGTACTAGCTACCTTTTCAGCTCAGAGTTCTTTGTATGGCAATCTTACTCAGTTTTAGTAGTTTCAGAAATGTTTAGATGCAGTTAAGAGGCTTTAGGTTTTTATATATAATTCTAGGACTTATATAGAGAGAGGGACAGAATTTTTACTTAGATTACATTTATATTTTCAAAAGGAAAGTTAGGAAATGAAAAATGCTAGACATATAATATTTATGGGAATATAATATTTAATTTATATGCTTAAAACATAGTTTGTGTGATTTACTCTTGTGACATTCTTAATAACTATAACAATTAATTTTTTAATATTTTTAAGTATCTATATTTTGAGGGGACTGGAGCGATAGCACAGCGGGTAGGGCGTCTGCCTTGCACGCAGCCAACATGGCCAACCCGAGTTCGATTCCTCCTCCCCTCTCGGAGAGCCCGGCAAGCTACCGAGAGTATCTCGCCCACACGGCAGAGCCTGGCAAGCTACCCGTGACGTACTCGATATGCCAAACACAGTAACAACAAAGTCTCCAATGGAGACGTTACTGGGCCCGCTCCAGCAAGGTAAAGGTAAAGGCCCTCCCGTTGATCGTCGATTTGCTCGAGCGGGCCCAGTAACGTCTCCATTGGAGACTTTGTTGATACTGTGTCTGGCATATCGAATACTCTCAGTAGCTTGCCGGGCTCTCCGAGAGGGGCGGAGGAATCGAACTCGGGTCGGCCATGTTGGCTGCGTGCTGCAAGGCGGGTAGGGCATTCACCTTACATGCGGCCAACATGGCCGACCCGAGTTCGATTCCTCCGCCCCTCTCGGAGAGCCCGGCAAGCTACCGAGAGTATTCGATATGCCAGACACAGTAACAACAAAGTCTCCAATAGAGACGTTACTGGGCCCGCTCGAGCAAAATCTATATTTTGAGGTAAACCATGCATTATTTAATCTAATAAACAAGATCTCTGGTTTAAAATTATTTTTATCCTCTCAACTAATATTAAACTTTTTATTAATATAATTTTTAAATTAAAAAAATTTGAAAGTGTTTGAGCCACACATCACGATGCTCAGTGCTTATTCCTGGCACTATGCTCAGGGATCACTCTGGGCAGTAATGCCCAGGGATTGAACCTAGGTTGACTAAATGGAAGGCAAATGCTGTACTATCTCTATGGAACCACTAGTATTTTATTTTTATAATCATTTTTCAAAACCGTTTTTATAGTTTCATGCAGATTTTTTTTCATCTTTTTCAGTTCTAGATTTAATATGAATATGTTAATTGGTTTTATAAACACTGTTACTTAAGAATGACTGTTATGTGAGTTTATTTTGTGAGTGCTATGCTTTTAGTTTTTCTGTCACTTCGTTGATCAGAGATTATTTTTATCATTTACAAATTATTTTAATTGAATTATGTGTGCTTCTCATTTTGTACATATAAATTTAAGCCTGCAAATAGGTTTTTCTATTGTTTTGATTATGTAGTATATGTCTAATTTTTAAACTTTTTCATAAAAAAATGCCACTTACATTGGTTGCACATGGCTCACTAGGTGAATGTAGTGGTTAGGTGTTTAACATAGAATTGCACATTGAGTTATGCTTAACACTCGCTAAATACCCGAGGTACCTTTTGATTGATAGTCTTTGTATTTTACAGTGGATGATGTTGGTGAAAAGTTAGAGCATATGGGAAACACACCATTAAAAATGGGCAATGATGTTTCACAAGAAGATGTTAAAGAAGATGGATTTGGTTCAGAAGTAATAAAAGTATATATATTCAAAGCTGAGGCTGAAGATGATGTTGAAATAGGTATGGAGGCTCATATCAATTTATTGTTATGATAGTTAAGAAAAACAACTTACATTTTCTGTTGATTATTCTAAAATTGTCATTGAAGTATAGATTTCTAATAGCTGTCTTTGGGAATGAGTGCTTAAAGAATTGCATATTATACAAAGCAGGAATACAGGGTATGTCATTTTTTTATTCTTTTAGGATGAATATAATATATTAGAAATTTCTTTAAATGGGGATTATTTCATGTAGAATAGGAAATGATAATGAATATTTAAGAGCAAGCTCTAGAGGGATTGTTTGGACATTTTATAATTTAATTATTTTTAAATGTAGGAGTACTGCTATTTATTCAGCCACTGATTAGCTGATTGAATTGTGCATGAACTACACCTTACTTTTTTTTCATTTTTTATAATTTTATGTATTGAATCACCATGAAAGCAGTTACAAAGTTTTTGGGTCTAAGTCTCAGTCATACAATGAAACACCCGTACCTTCACCAGTGCCCATTCTCCACCACCAAAATCCCCAGTATACCCACATCCCACACCCTCCCCCTACCTGTGGGGCAGATGATTTCTACATTACTCTCTCTCTACTTTGAACACATTCAATATTTTGACACCAGATATATACCCCAACACTAGGATCTGCTGAAAAAGCAACAGTAGACAATTTGTGTTCTATTGCTGGTTATGAATAACATATGATGTTGTGTGGCTGCAGTAGGGCCATGTGATTTTGAAATTCCGAAATTTTAACACTTAAATCTGGAGGGATTTCTGCCAAAAGCCACTGGTTTTCGAGATTTGCTCCTGAGTCTCTGGGATCATGGCCGTTGAGCAGCTTGATCAGGAGCTGAGAGGCTGTTCGTGGGCGATGACTTGTGGTCTCATTGGGGTGGGGAGGACAGGCCCGGCTCCACCCCCATCCCATGAGGCCCAACAAGTTTCGTCGCTGCAGGCCTAAGTCTGACTGTCCAATGGCCTCTGGAGGATGATGGCCACTGAGCCGCCAGGGAGAAGCAGGCGGAGGGACAACACCCTTTCCCCCCTGGGGTGGCCCGGCGACAGTAACATACTGTGTGGTCCGGACGCATTTCTGCGAAAAGCCGCTGGGTTTCGAGATTTGTTTCAGAGTCTCTAGGATCATGGCCGTTAAGCAGCTTGATCAGGGGCCAGAGAGGCCATTCGTGGGTGATTACTTGGGGTCTTATTGGGATGGGAAAGGCCCGACTCCCCTCCCCCCATCCTGTAAGGCCCAAAATGTCTCGTCACTGTGGGCCTAGACCTGACTGTCCAATGGCTTCTGGAGGATGACGGCCACTGAGCCGCCAAGGGGGAGCAGGCGGAGGGACAACACCCTTTCCCCCCTGTGGTGGCCTGGCGACAGTAACCTACTGCGGGGTCCTGCCACATTTCTGCCAAAAGCCGCTGGGTTTCAAGATTCGTTTCTGAGTTTCTGGGATCAAGGCCGTTGAGCAGCTTGATAAGGAGCCAGAGAGGCTGTTCGTGGGTGATGACTTGGGGTCTCGTTGAGGTGGGGAGGACAGGCCCGGCTCCCCCCTCATCCCGTGAGGCCCAACAAATTTCGTCACTGCGGGCCCAAGCCTGACTGTCCAATGGCTTCTGGAGGATGATGGCCACCAAGCCCCCAAGGGGCATCAGGTGGAGTGACAACACCTTTTCCCCCTGGGATGGCCCGGCAACAGTAACATACTGTGTGGTCCGGACGCATTTCTACCAAAAGCCACTGGGTTTCGAGATTTGTTTCTGAGTCTCTGGGATCATGGCCGTTAAACAGCTTGATCAGGAGCCAGAGAGGCTGTTTGTGGGCGATGACTTTGGGTCTCATTGGGTGGGGAGGACAGGACCGGTTCTACCCCCATCCTGTGAGGCCCTGCGTGTCTCATCACTGGAGGCCCAAACCTGACTGCCCAGTGGCCTCTGAAGGATGGTGGTCACTGGGCCGCCAGGGGGAACAGGCCAAGTCACAAAACCTATTCCCACCTGGGTTGGCCCAGCACTGGTGACCTACTGCAGAGACCAGACGCATTTCTGCCAAAAGCCGTTGGGTTTCAAGATTTGTTTCTGAGTCTCTGGGATCATGGCCGTTAAGCAGTTTAATCAGGAACCAGAGAGTCCATGCCTCCAAGTATATAGCTGAGCCGGTGGTGGTTTGTGTGTGTGTTTCCCACATACCTAACTTTTGGCTGTTTACTTTCTTGGTAAACTTTGCCCCAAGTTTTTGGGGTCTGGTCAAAGGCATAGCAGCAATTTTGGGGTATCTGGAAGTCTGAAGCCACCATCAGGCTGCTGATGCACTCGCCTCACAGGTACAGATAGACCTGCTGGCGGCACCATACCCCCACAATTTAATTTTTTTAAATGAATCAAAATAGCTTTATTGAATGAAATTTAGAAACATGACAGGTATAAGGAGAGAGAAGTAGAGATTTATTCAAAAGGTAATATGAGTTTCTCTAGAATGATAAAACACCCTATGTGTTTCTTTGCTTGTTCGTGGCCACATCTGACTGTGCTCAAGGCTTCTACCTGGTTCTGTGTTAAGGGATAATTCCTGGTAGTGCTCAGGGATATATGTGTTTCTGGGATTGAACTGGGGTCAGACAAGGCAAGAGTCTTTACCATCTGTACTGTCTTTCTGCCCTTGCTCTTTCAATCTTAATTATACTACTGTTACTTAGATAACTGACATTTTGTGAATTACTTCTCTTGTTTTCTCTCTTTTTTTTTGGCGGGGTGCCACACCCAGTGTTGTACATGGCGTATTCCTGGGGTATCAGGAGTGCTCCCTTCTGGTGCTTAGGAGCCACATCTGATGCTGGAGCTATAAAAGTGTTGGCCACTTGCAAAGAAAGCACCTTACCTTCTGTGCTATCTCTCAGGCCGTTACTTAGATCTTTCTATCTTATTTTCCATATCTATAGAAGAGTCACAATGAGTGTAAGTAATAGGAATATTGTGACAACTAAGTGGTTAAATACATGTTCAAAATGTTATATAGTGTTTGGCGTGTAAGTGTTAACATTTGATATTTCTCGGTGATGACTGAAAATTTAAACTACTATATGTATGAAATTGTTTTAACATTTGTAAATAATATACTGGAATATTTTGGGGTGAACATTTTTAAAGAAAATTATTTTTATATAGTCTCTTGGTTAAATTGGTAGATTATTCCTTGGTACTTAACTATTTTAATACATATTTTAATTTTTAAGGTGGAACAGAAATTGTGACAGAGAGTGAGTACACTAATGGACATTCTGTAACAGGAGTGCTTGATCAGAACCGAATGCAGCGGGAGAAGATGGTTTACATGGCTGTTAAAGATTCTTCACAAGATGATGATATCAGTAAGAAAAAAAGGACACTGTAGTCACTTATCAGTAGCTATCGTGTAAAACATGTAAAACCATCTCAGATACAAAAAACAAAACTATATTAAGAACAGTCAATAAACTAAGTCTGACATGCTTACTATACTTAATAAGGGAAAGGTCTTTTTGAAACTAAACACTTATTTTTCAGTTTGGCAGCTATGAAATACTATCTAATATTAGTAATGCAGATGTCAGTAATGTAGTTTCTGATTCAGTGGAGCCCAAAAATCCTTACAGAATTATTGAAGAGTCTGTACATGTTATTGTTTCTTATTTAATTCCCATACCTCACCTCTGAAGTAGAAATGTTTATCCATACCTCAACGCTGAAGTAGAAATGTATTATCCAAGTTATGGAAGGAAAAAATTATTTAGGGAAGTTCATTCCAAACATCACTCCACTAGTATTTGATTACTAATTTGAACATTAATCCAACTTTTCTAACAATATTCATTCCATATGGTAGTAGCTACTGTTTGTCCTCTGGAGTTGGCAATGGAAGCACTGTTTATTTTCTATTCACTAAGGATTGGTTGAATAATTATTCTTTCATGCCAGGATACCATTTGTTTACTTAGGATATTGATGATTTTCAAATAGTAGCCAGCCAATTACAAATTTTTGGAACAGGAGTACCAGAGGGTGCAAAAAATAAATTTATTGTTATTCTTATGAAGGCATATTTTCATCTCTACCTACTTTATTTCCATCTCAATGTAGAAATGCAGTCTATGACTTCTTGTAATGCTGAGACAACTATTACATTGTTTTGTCTTAAAAATACAAAAAACCCCACTTCAGAGCATTTCTTTGACAGCATTATTTACCTGACTACACTCTGATCTCCACTCTTCATATTTCCTTCCCTAGAAGTCATAGAAAGCTAAACTTCAATCCATGGCATAAATATACCAAAGCTAAATATATTAAAACGAATGAGTTGAGAGGCTTTGGTTGGAGAGGAAAACGTTAATTTCTGCCCATTGATATATGAGTGAATAAAAAAGATGCATATGTACTACTTGGCTATTAAAAAGATGAGATCATGTCATTTGCAACAACGTGGTGAACCTAGAGATGCTTATGCTTAGTGAAACAAGTTAGAGATAGAAAAACATTTTACTTCATTTTTGTGATGTGTAAAGAAAACATTCTAAAGAACTTAAGTAAATCTTTAGATCTTGGGGCTAGAGCATTGGTACATCGGATAGGGCCAAATGTTTTACTTGTATGCAGCTGACCTGGGTTTGATCTCTGCCATCACATATGATCCCCTGAGCACCACCAGGAGTAATTCCTGAGTGCAGAGCCAGTGATAACCCCTGAGCATTGCTGGGTGTGACCCAAAAAGCCAAAGAAGAACTTTAGATCTTATGAAAAAATTAGTGCCTACCAGGAGGTAAGGGATAATTTGGGGGAAGGTAAATCAAGGAAAGGAAGGGTCAAGGATATAGTGGAAGATAGAGTTAATTTTAGTGTAAAAATGACATATGCAGATGCTGATTTATAATGACATTTAATTTGTATTTTTTCATATATTTTTACTCATCAGTCAGTAAAGGAGCATGGTATAAGGTGGTAGACTGAATTTAGATCTAGCCGATGGCATAATTCTATAGTAAAGTTTGACTAATGTTTCTGGATCACATTTTTGTCACATTTCTTCTACATTTCTTCTTCTGTAGTAAGAAGTTCACTGTATGAGTAAATAGAAAAACAAATTCAAACCTATTTTCTATTTAAGAGGTTTTCATACCTGGCAGTGCTCAGGACTTCCTCCTGGCTCTGCATTCTGGGTTTCAAAAAGGATGCCAAGGATCAAACCTGAGTTGGTCAAGTGCAAAGGAAGTGCTTGCTCACTATACTATTTCTCCAGCCTCAAACATGGCACTTTTGATAATTAAATTTTTTCACTCCGGGATGTTCTTTTCTATTGCAGTGTCCCCAAAGAAGTATGTTCATGAATATTTATTTATATATATATAAATATATAAAACAACTGGCAGGCTACCGAATGTAACCTGCCCACATGGCAGAGTCTGGCAAACTCCCCGTGGTGTACCCAATATGCCAAATACCAGTAACAATGATGGGTCTCATTCGCCTAACTCTGAAAGAGCCTTGAATATGGCACTTTTTAAAAAAATCTCAGGGCTAGTATGAAGGAGACGTTACTGGGGCCTGCTCGAGGCAATCGACGAATAACAGGATGGTCATGATCGTGATTGTGACTCTAAACAGATTATCTTACAGAAAACATACCCAGTAACTTTTAATTTTTGATTTTTGGGTCACATGCAACTAGTCTCAGGTTACTCCTGGCTCTGCACTCAGGCATTACTCTTGGTGGTGCTTGGGGACTGTATTGGGTGCCAGGGATTGAACCCAGGTCAGCCGCATGCAAGGCAAATACCCTACATGCTGTGCTATCACTCTGCCCCCCCCAGTGACTTTTAATTTTTTTTATACCAAAACAACACCTGTTTTTCAAAATGAGTCATCTTTAATACAGAGGCAGTTTTCTTTTGCTCAGTACCTGTTAGTACTGGGAATCGAATTTGGCCTTCCACATTCAGAGCATGCATTCAGTGACAGTACTGTGGCACAGTCACTTGTCTCTTAAGAGGCAGATTCAGGTTGGATACTCACCTCCCCATCTGGTCCCCCTAGTTTTCCAGGAGTGATCCCTGTGAGCAGAGCCAAGAGTAAGCTCTGAACATTTCACCAGCTTTGATCTAAAAACAAACACAGCATGCACTCAGCCCTTTTAAGCCTATTTTCCTTTCTGTCTCTGTCTTTTGTCTGTTTCTGTCTCTGACACTCTCTCTCACTCTCTCTCTCTCTCTCTCTTTTACTCTTTCTCCAGATAGATATTTGTGCATCTATATTTTATCATTTGTTTTGGTTTGGGGCAACACCTGGTGATGCTCAGAACTTATCCTGACTCTGATTGTGTGCTCAGGGGTCACTCCTGATAGTACTCAGAGGACCATATGTGGGCCAGGGATTGAAATGGGGTAATCTGCATATTGTCTCTTGGCCCTTTGACTCACTTTTAATGCTTTTTTCATCAGTAAGATCTCTTGAAATCCTGCCTCTTGAAGGTGTTAAAATATTTTTGAGTACCAGCTTGTTTATTTTATATAAATGTGTGTATCTTTTTTACATATATGTACATATAATCCTACAAAGGCATAGCCTATTTTATTGCACTTCATTTTATTGTTCTTCATAGATATTTTTTTCCTCCCACAAATTGAAGGTTTGAGGCAACCTTCCTTGAGCAAGTGTGTAGCGTCATTTTTCCACAGTATGTACTCACCTCATGTCTCTTTGTCATATGTAATTAAGGTATGTAAATTTTAAAACATATTTCTACTGCACATTTAATGGACTACATTATATTCACTATAGTATAGTGTATACAGCAACAGTATTTTCCAAACTGGGTGATACTGCCTGCCTTGTGAGTCATTGAAATGATATGGGGGTACTGAGTAGCTTTTTTCCTTGAAGGGAAGCCATTGTCCAAATAAATTTGAGAACTGCTGTCATAATACAAATAAAAATTTTACATGCACTCTCTGAGAAACCAAGAAAATATGTATGACTCACTTCATTGCAATATTAGTCACAAATTGTGTTAATTTATTACTGTGGTCTGAAACCAACCCCATAATATTTTCAAGGTGTGCCTGTATGTATTATTTTGATTATTTATATTTTCAGATTTCTGTTACTTTTCAGATAAGTCTTTTTCAGTTACTATCTGACTGTTTTCATTGCATGCACAGTATGGCATTAAACTTAAACAGTCTTTGCAATAGCAGTTACCCCTTTCTAGTATTAATCACATGGGAAGTGTTTTCTGAGTTCTGAGAAATATTTGGCAGAATCATGGAATACAACCTTTTTCATAAATTTGTAATGCCCATTGGATTATAAATCAGTCAATATATTTGAGGCACACATGTTTTATACAGTTTAAAAGCCATTTTCTTAAACCAGTTTGAAGGGAAGAATTAGAATTTTGGTAAAAGATTGTCTCCCAGTGACACAGTCTCCAAAAGTGCCTAATGCATTTTTAAACATTTACCAGTTTAAAACCTTGAAAGTTGAAAGATTTAAGTTGTTTGGAATTTTTACCCACTTATTAAATATTTGGGGTTATAAACAAGCAATTATTTCTAAAATTTAGGTTGCGCTGAAATAGCAGATGAAGTTTACATGGAAGTCATTGTAGGGGAAGAGGAAGGAACTTCTCTCCCTGAGACTCAGCTTGAACACTCTGATGTTAATAAAACAATTGTCCCTGTTGTCTGGGCTGCGGCATATGGTAGGACACTGGAATTTTTTCACCTGATAAGTACATAACATCTATTTGATCAGCCTTTAGTTCATTAAATATGCTGTACTAATGCCCCCTATGAGTTGGCTAGTATTATAAAATGTTTTACTGTGGACTGAATCATCTTTAGTTATTTACATGATTTTTCTCCCACATATCTTGTATTATATAAAATGAACCTTGCTTAATGCATTAATTTTCAATAGAATTTATTTAAATCCTATCTATATAAGTGAGTGCCATAAAGCATTTTATTTTTCTAAATTAGGACTATCCATTGAAAATAGATTCTTCCCCCTTTGGGAAAACTTATTTCATGTTTTAACAACACAAAAAAAGATTTTGGAGTTTTGCAAAGGAACATACATTCAGGTGTGCTCTTCTAGAAAACGAGGAAGGTAAAATTAGCTATTTTTCAATTTTTTTCTGATTTAATCTCATTTCTATTTTACAAGATGGGCCAGTTGTACTCTACACTTTGAAAATTTTTGGTATTCAAATGTTTTAACTTGGTGTTTCATATGGTTCATTTATTCAACAGTCATTTATTGAGAATCTTCGATTTTGAGGGTAATCTGCAGAAATATCTACCAAGTTTTTATTTTAAAATAATACATTTTAGATATTTACAGTTTCAAGGATGCTGACAATAGCCCTTATTTTCAGTCTGTGAAATTAGTATCTAAACTATTGGAGTAGAAGAATTCAACAACAAAAAAATTAATCCAAGGAACGGTGATCAAAGTAAGATTTTGCAGATTAAGATATGATCCACATGTAATCCTTATACTCAGTATATCAGTTTCAATTAGGCCTTCCTTTTTTAGGGGATGAAAGAAAAGCTTCACGAAGATACGAAGATTGCCAAGCATCAGGTAAGAGAGATTCATATATGAGATATGAGGGCTGGAGTGATAGCACAGCGGGTAGGGCGTTTGCCTTGCAAGTGGCCAACATGGCTGACCCGAGTTCGATTCCTCCGCCCCTCTCGGAGAGCCTGGCAAGCAACCAAGAGTATCTCGCCTGCACGGCAAAGCCTGGCAGCTACCCATGACATATTCGATATGCCAAAGACAGTAACAGTTGTCACAAAGGAGACGTTACTGGGCCCGCTCGAGCAAAGCGATGAACAACAGGAGGACAGTGACAGTATTTAATAGCCAGTTTTATAGTGCTTGGCACTAGTTTGCTCGATTTGCTCGAGCGGGCCCAGTAACGTCTCCATTGGAGACTTTGTTGTTACTGTGTCTGGCATATCGAATACTCTTGGTAGCTTGCCAGGCTCTCTGAGAGGGGCGGAGGAATCGAACTCGGGTCGGCCATGTTGGGGCACTAGTTTGTTTTTGCATATGTAATATATATTAATATTATATTTTTGCATATATATTAAATTTTTACATACCTAATCATTCCTAACCTTTTTACGTACATAGGAATGTGATACTTTGGGGAGCCAATTTATATACAATGTGTACTCTACAAATGTATTTTTAGGTTTTTCCTCAAGGTACAAAATATTAGGTAATTTAGCACATTGGTCATAAAATGTTGCTGTGTGAGAATTTGTAAATTAGAAATTAATTTTAGAAGACTTAAAAATTTACATTAGCATTTCTTACATAGTACTATTTTATTAGTTCCTATGTCAGGCAGGATACTACATAACTTACATAAAATTTATGTATCAACTTAAATTTTTCATTTTGATTTTATGTAATATAATTCCATGGTTGATAGTTCTTTATTATTTTTACAAGTAAGGAAATTTTTTTCTCATAAGAAATGATGTTTTCCTGAGAAGGTATTTGACCAAAAATTTAAATGTAGATTTTAGAAGCAAGTACAGGTATAGTACAGGTATAGTATAAGATGCTTGCCGGATATGCAGGTGACCCCAGTTTAATCCCTGGCACTACATATGTTCCCTCAAACATTGCTAAGAGCGATCCTTGGGCCCATAGAACTTAAGCACAACTGAGTGTCATACAGAAATTTTTTAAAAGTCTTGGTTTATAGAAGTTGATGACAGGTACATTTCACAGCATATACATTAAAATTTTTCTAGGTATAAATTAGTTAACTAAATTGCCTAACAGAAATATGAAAAGTGGAATTTTATATTCTATATAGACTAGTCTTTTTGAAATTATGGTAAAATGCCTGAACCTTGTCTTAATTATTTTTATTTTTACTTTTTATTCTATTTTTTTTTTTTTTTGCTTTTTGGGTCACACCTGGTGATGCGCACCCGAGGTTACTCCTGGCTCATGCACTCAGGAATTACTCCCAGTGATGCTCGGGGAACCATATGGGATGCTGGGAATCAAACCCGGGTCAGCTGCGTGCAAGACAAATGCCCTACCTGCCGTGCTATCACTTTAGCCCTTAACTCTTATAATAAATCTTAATACTCACTTTTCATACTAAAACTTTTTAAAAGCATATATGCGAATAATATTTTGTTACACATCACACATAGTCACCATGCCTATATTGTTCACTAACATATGTAGGCAATTTTTTTCTAGATCTCATTAAATTTTTTGGTTTGGTGGCCGTCCTCAGGCGATGCTCAGTGGTTTACTCCTGGCTCTACACTCAGGAATTATTCCTGGTGGAACACAGGGGCCCATAGAGGATGCCAGGGATCAAACAAGGTCGACAGTATAAAGAGCAAGTATACCCGTTGTACTATCTCTCCAGCCTCAATCTTATTAATTTTATTAGTATTTGTTGGTGAGAGATTGATCTCATGCCAGGATTTTATTTTGGGTCATAAAATTCAGTTTCTTATGTTACCTTCACTTTATTATTAGATTATTCTTTTAGGATGAATGCATTGGAATATTTTAACATTAATTTTATTTTCAAGAATGAAAGACAGTAAAGAGAAGGTGGTACTTTGTGAAATTTAGTACTATAATGGAAACTTGATATTATATCATCTGTGCAGAACCAAAGTGACATACATGTATGTAGCTTTATGGTTTGTATATTTTTCCAGGAAATACTTTGGATTTAGCATTAGAAAACAGAAGTAGTACAGCAGCACAGTACCTTCAAATTTGTGATGGCATTAGTACAAATAAAGTGCTTAAACAAAAATCTAAGAAGAGGAGAAGAGGAGAAACCAGGCAATGGCAAACAGGTAACTAAAATACAGATAGTTAGCTTTATGAGTATTATAATGATTTGAAATATAGATCTTTATTTTGTAACTTATGGGAAAATATTTTGTTTATAATGTAATTCTACTCCCACGTAACTGTTTTGTATTAAGTTTTAAGAGTATGGCTTAATAAAACTATATTTATCTGCTCTTTATTCAGATTGTTTTATTTATTTACTCGTTTGGGGGATACACCTGGGTGGTGCTCAGGAGATGGATACTCCGAGATCTGTGACCAGGCAATACTTTTAGTGGTGCTCATGATATCATGCAGTGCTGGGGTCAAACATAGGCCTCCTGCATGCAAAGCTTGCACTAAGCCTATTGAGTTATCTTTCCAGTTACAAATGATGTCTGAAAAGAGAAGTTTTAGGTTGATTTACCTATAAAGGATTTTTTTTCTAGTTAGAAAAATTCAGTTTGTCTGGTGAGTAGTCTATACGTATAGTTCTGCTAAATTTCTTTTAGTGAGCTACTTAATAATACTTTGCTTTTTATCTTCATTTCACCTTAAAATAATTTAATATAGTTCTCACGCAGTGAATATTAGCTAATTTTGGTATTTTTGTTGTAAAACCCTTTAAACTAGTCTGTTCAAGTGTCACAAATTTGCTTTCTTTTAATCTAGCTGTTATAATAGGTCCGGATGGACAGCCCCTGACAGTGTACCCTTGCCATATTTGTACAAAAAAGTTTAAATCCAGAGGATTCTTGAAAAGGCACATGAAAAATCATCCTGATCATTTGATGAGAAAAAAGTACCAGTGTACAGATTGTGACTTTACAACTAACAAGAAAGTGAGTTTTCATAACCATTTAGAAAGCCATAAGCTTATTAACAAAGTTGACAAAACTCATGAGTTTTCTGAATACACAAGAAGATACAGAGAGGCTAGTCCACTGAGCTCAAATAAACTTATATTGAGGGACAAGGAGCCGAAGATGCACAAATGCAAATACTGTGACTATGAAACTGCAGAGCAAGGACTGTTAAACAGACATTTACTAGCTGTTCACAGCAAGAATTTTTCTCAAGTTTGTGTTGAGTGTGGTAAGGGCTTTCGACATCCTTCAGAACTCAAGAAGCATATGAGAACGCATACTGGTGAAAAGCCATATCAGTGTCAGTACTGTGTCTTCAGGTGTGCAGATCAGTCAAATCTGAAAACTCATATTAGGTCTAAGCATGGTAACAATTTGCCATATAAATGCGAACATTGTCCCCAAGCATTTGGTGATGAGAGGGAACTTCAGCGTCATTTGGATTTGTTTCAAGGACATAAGACGCATCAGTGTCCTCATTGTGACCATAAGAGCACCAATTCAAGTGACCTTAAGCGGCACATCATATCTGTTCATACTAAGGATTTTCCTCACAAATGTGAGGTCTGCGATAAAGGTTTTCATCGTCCTTCTGAGCTCAGAAAGCATAGTGATATCCATAAAGGCAGGAAGATTCATCAGTGTAGGCACTGTGACTTTAAAACATCAGATCCATTTATTCTTAGTGGCCATATCCTTTCGGTTCATACTAAGGATCAGTCATTGAAGTGTAAGAGGTGCAAGAGAGGGTTCAGACAACAAAATGAACTCAAAAAACATATGAAGACCCATACTGGAAGAAAGATTTACCAATGTGAGTATTGTGAATACAGCACTACAGATGCTTCTGGCTTTAAACGACATGTGATATCTATACATACAAAGGACTATCCACACAGGTGTGAATTTTGCAAGAAGGGTTTTCGAAGGCCATCAGAAAAAAATCAGCATATTATGAGGCACCACAAGGAGGCTCTTTTGTAATAAGATCAATATCAAGAAAGAGGCTATTTAGAAAATATGATATGCTACTTGAAAAGAAAATTGCACAAACTCATCTGGCTAAAAAGCTCGATCTTAAGTCATAACTTTTCAGTCTTTCTATTAATGATCTTAAGATATTTGAATTGGTAGGGGATCTTATAGCCTTTTGAAAAATAATTAAACATGATTAAATGTGAAAAACATCTTCAACCTCTATTTAATAGTATTATTCATAATTAAACTACAGAGAGGAAAAGCAAAAATAAATAATTGGCTGATCATACCAGAGAGAAACATTTCCAGAAAGATTATATGTAATTGAGTTTAGAAGTGCTCTGCCATGGCAAACAAGCCTCACATTTATGCAATTTTAGAAATGGGGTGTTGAAATAAAATACAGTCATTCATGAGTCACTTAGTCATTGAATATTTTATATAAAGTCTGGAAGTTAAATTCCAGAAATGGCAAACGTTTTTAGTATTAAAATAAATTTCATGAGGAAAGAGGTTAGATTAATCCAATGTTATTTTTAAAAGAATTTTCAGAGCTGCTAAAATTTTGTCACAGTATAGGGTGTTAAAATCTAGAATTCTATGCTAAAATCCAAGGTCAATTCTTAAGGATGAACTTCCTTCTTCTGATACACAATTTGATAGTTTTCAGTTTGGCATATGACAAAGTTATATTTGAGTCATTTGACTTTATAAAATGGATGCAGCTGTAGTGTTGCAAACAAAGCACTGTATTTCTTAAACAGCTAAAGAGTAAAATGAGAGAACACAATTTCCTTAAATACTGCAATGTTTAGACAGTGTTTTAGGACAGTCTTAGCAGTATGATTGTTCTAGTATTACTTGCTCTAATGTTTAAAGGTGCAATTTTATGCCATTATTGAGAGTTTTGGTTTTTAAAATCTTATATCATTAGTGCAAATTATCAGTATGAGGCAGTATTGATGCAATACTTAGCAGAAAAATATACTGCCACTAGACTTTGGAGGTGAATATTCATTTTATAGTGTATAAATTTAAAATATGCATCCCTTTAACAACGCTTTGTGTTAGCATGCTGCAAATCAAAATGGCACTTACTATATAAAGCTGATTTAAGGAAATTTAATTGAAACACTGTTTATAAATTTAACGCATATGATGTGTACTTTTAAGTTTTAGTTGCTTCATATTTACACTCCACTGTTAAACATAATTAAAAGGTAATTTTAACTTTTTAATTAAAAGGTTAAAATGCACTATATTGTGGCTTTGTGTTTCAAATAATGTTTGTCTTTATTTTGCACCAGGCAAAAATAATTTCTTGGATAAAAAGTTTTTTATCTTTCTTAACATCAGAATATTAAATTTGGAAAATATAAAATTGTGTGTTATGTGGCTGTAAATGATGTACACGCTGTAAAATAAGATTGTCACTGTTACATGGGACTATTAGTTCTAAATGTTATTCATTGAAATTGAGCATACAATAAAAAGCATTTATTGCATTTCAAGAGCTTATGAATTTATTTTAAATTGTGCTGTTATGTTCATTCCTTAACCAGTTAAAATTTCTTTTAGGCAATGTGATCCTTTTTTAATGCCTTGTTGAATTTTGTTAATGGTATGGACTATGAATTTAAACAATTATGATTCTGGAATGATTCTCCTCAAAATCTTACTTGCAAATTGATCAGAAAATGCTATATATTCCAAAAATTAGTGTTGTCATTCTAAGTCTGTCCCTCTCCTTTTGACTTATTTCACTCAGCATAATACTCTCCATATACATCATTCAAAACCCTATTTCATGACTTCATTATTTTTTCTGACAGCTATGTAATATTTCATTTTGTAAATGTACCATAGTTTCTTTAATCAGTCGTCTATTCTCGGGCACACGGGATGTTTCCAGATTCTGGCTATTGTGAACAGAGCTGCAATAAACATACAAGTGCAGATATCATATCTGCTGTGTGTTTCTGCACCCCAGGGGTATATTCCCAGAGTGGTATTGCTGGATCATATGGAAGCTCAATTTCTACTATTTTGAGGAATGCTATTGCTTTCCAAAATCGCTGGACCATTCTATATTTCTACAGTAGTGAACGAGAGTCCTTTTCTTCTTGCATTCAATCAAGTACTGGCTGTTCCTGTTCTTTTTGCTGTGTGCCAGTCTCTGTTGTGTAAGGTGATGAATCATTGCTGTTTTGATTTGTGTCTCCCTGATGATTAGTGATGGAGAGCATTTTTTCATGTGCCTTTTTGCCATTAGTATTTCTGTTTTACACCCAAGTCCAGTCGAAACAAGGGCCATGGGGATTGTCCACTTTTGGAAACCTGTTTCAAGGGCTGGGGGAGAGGGCAGTTGGGATAAAGAAGCTACCATTATGACATGATGGGATCACTCTGAATAGGAGGTATATGCTGAAAGTGGGTAAAGGACCAAACATGATAGCTTCTCAGTATCTGTTGCAAACGATATTGCCCAAAAGTGAGAGAGAGGGAGAGAGAGAGAGAGATGAAAAGTGCCTTCCATAGAGCAGGCAGGGGTAGAAGGTGGCAGTCGGATCCTTGGGATATACTTGTGAGTGGACAGGTTTTGAAACATTGTATACCTGAAATGCGATCATAAAAACTTTGTAACTGTATCTCACAGTGATTCAAAAAATTAAAACTCAGATAATTCTACCATGCCAAAAAAGCTATAAATGTGCCATCTTAAGACCTGATTTTTAAAGTGTGGCTGGAGATTTAGCATAGAGAGCAAGTCATTTGCCTTGTATTTGGTGACCTACATTTCATTCTCAGTATGTTATATGGCCCCCTGAGCCTCTAGGAATGATCCCAGAGTGCAGAATCAGGAGTACTTCCCTGAGTACTGCTAGCTATGGCCCCAAAACTAAGCAAAACAAAAAGACTCAAGATTTAGTGCTAGAGAAAATGTTATACTATTACATTGCCTATGTATAATAGCCATAATAAATGAGTATATCATGTTCTCAATAGACTTATAAACATACAAAAGTATTAAATGAGGTACTTCGGAAAGATTTCTGCAAACATGAGAGTGTACCCTCTTCTATTGAAACTAGTCAGAATTCAATAAAATATGTTCCTACATATATAACACCATTCTCTAAAACTATTGGGTAACTAACAGGCTTGTCAATTGGGTGGTGATAGCTAACAAAAAATGCTCACCTATTACTCTTAAAGCAGTGTTGTTTTTCAAGCTTTAATATCTGTAGAGTTCACCTAGGGATCTTGGTATAAAGCATATTCTGACTGAATAGGGCTGTAGGTGATCTTGGTATAAAGCATATTCTGACTGAATAGGGCTGAGATGAGGCCTACAGTTCTGCATTTGTAGCAAGTTCCCACTAGAGAAGTAATGTGTTAAGCAAAAAAAATTTATAATTCTGGTACACTTTGGCAACTTTATTTCTTTAAAAAAGCCATGTATGGTATGTTGATAAGTTCAATCTTTACTAAAGACATGACTTATGAACTGAGATATATAGTGGTAAAAAGAAACCAATTATATGAAGATGCTCTGGAAGATCATATCAGAATCATGCCAATGAAACTAACATGGAACAAGTAACAGGACCATGGTTGTGAGTTTCAAAAAAGTGTGAGCATGAGGGATGAGAGCTTTCGGTGGCCGAGAACTTTTCCCCTAGCTGGCCCACAATGGATGAACAAAAGACCGGTGGAAGCGAGAAACAGGGCCCCACCCTGGTTGGTATACAGTTTATTTCTCTCATCCCCAATTTAGTCAGTCTTACCCCTAACAGAATACTAATTTCTCCTTCCCCACCATAGTTACCTCATCCCTCGCAGCATAATAATTTCTGTTCCTTTCTCCCCATTATAGTTTTTCTCTTCCCGTTTCCTTAGCCTCCATCGACCTCTTCCCTTACAGCATAATAATTTCTCTTCTTTGTCTCTCCCTCCTTACACCGTAGTAATATAGAAATCATGATGGGTGGGGGTACACATAGGTGGGATTGAACATTGTCATAACTATCCAGGAGTAAATACTATTTTACAGTCAATTAAATTCCATGTTACAAAAGCATAGCATGAACTGTCTTCCTGTGTCTATACAAGAAGGACATGCAAGTGACATAAAGGAGAGAAGCAAAATAGGATTAGTAGTGCCTGATGGAATTGGGTGTGCCTCAGGGGCACTGTTGTGGTAGTAACTTAACAAACTTAATTTCCCTGAGGGAGGAGCAAGAATAAATCAATGTTATACAAAAATAATGAGTTGGGGAACTGATACAATTAAGATATATGGGAATTTGAAATGAGAAGTTTCTGGAGTGTTTTGGAAAAAAAGGGAATGTGATAAGACTTTTAACATTTTGACAATATATTTCTGAAGCTATTAAGTATGTTTTTTCCGGCTTCTGCCACATCTACCATCACTGCTGCTCTTCTCTCTTTGAGGTCTTCCTTTATTGCTTCTCTGCACTGCTTTGCAAGCTTGGACATTTGCTTGCAGTTGCCTGAGGCATGTGCCAAGCCATGTTGGCAAATAAGCTCAAGAGTTTTCGAAGACAGGCATTTTTTGTGGTTATCTCTCTCTTGGAACGCCTCGCAAAATCATGGAGGTGCTTAACCAGTCGATCATATTCCTCGTCAATGTTGTCAATGATGGCATCTTCCCATGTTGCAGCAATAGTGCCAAAGAGCTCCCAGTTGGTGGTCATTCTGGGAGTTCTCTTTTTAAACTTTGCAGCCCTTTCTCCTCACTCTGTGAAGTGGAATTTTTCACAAAGGAGATGGTCCGATCTCGTTTGGAATTTTGGGACAACAGCAACATCGGTCAGACAAGACCATCGATTGAATGTGATGTGGTCAATTTTGTTGTGGAACCATCCACTGGGACACTCCCATGTCCAACGTTTAGATGCGGCCTTCTGGAACTGTGAGTTACCGTGGATGGTCTTGGTCGACATGATGAACTCAGACAGTCTCTCACCCTGTTTGTTCCATTCTAGGCCATGGGTCTCGATGTGGAGTTCTTCAGCTAATCTTCTAGGTCCTATCTTGGCATTAAAATTACCAACAATCATCGTGTAGAAGGTGTGGTATTTATAGAACTTCTCCAGCTCCATTTAGAACTTCTCAATTTCTCCATCATAATTGGAAGTTGTTGCATAGACAACGAAGATATAAACTGACGGCAGTGAGCCACATCTATTCAAGTGTAATCATCCGATTCAGGTTGTTAGGCATTTGAATGAATCAATGCTCATGGCCAAGTTCGTGTTGACGAGGACACCGACACCATGATGCCTCTTTTATTGCATGTTCAGAGGAACAGTTCTTCTCCAGTGTGAAAATGGTGTGATGTGATTGATACCTTCTTGTCTTGGTCAGACCAATGATGTCATACTTGGTCTTCCGTGCTTGCACCATCAGGTTCTTGATGGATGCGTGTAATGCTGCTAGTGTACGTGCATTGAAAGTACAGATAATCATTTTTGTCTTTCTTGGTTTTGGCAGCCTAGTTCGGCCTTGAGATTTTATCAGCCTCTCCTTCCACATCCTTCCCAATGCTGCCGTATTGGTGACTCCTTCAGGGTCAGGAGAATGAGTCCCATTGTATTTACTGGTTTTGGCATATTGAATATGCCACGGGTAGCTTGCCAGGCTCTGCTGTTCAGGTGGGATATTCTTGGTAGCTTGCCAGGCTCTCTGTAATGCCTGCCTGCCCTTTGCCAACTACAAGCCCAAGATGACTGCCCTCCAACATCCTGATAGATCTATCACGTCTTCCAGAAGGGAAATGGAGAAGATTATCCATGACTTACTCAGGTATCTTCGATAGCCACGTCCACCTGCCCACATACCAAATTCCGCAGGATGAATATGTCGTTCCCAATGTTCTCCCTTCCAAAATCTGACACGCCATTTTGTTGGTAAAGAAACGAACAGCACCTGGCCCTGACAAGGTCAGAACTGAACACCTGAAGAACCTTCCATTAGTACTCATCAATTCACTGACTCGGCTCTTCACATGCTACCTGTCTGAATGCAAGGTTCCATGCCAATGGAAAACCAGCAGGACTGTACTACTGTACAAGAAGGGAGACATCCATGACATTGGCAACTATCACCCTACCTTCCTATGGTCTGTCATCTACAAGCTGTTCACTCGTTCAATCCTGAATAGGATCGGCAGGACACTAGATAGACAACCATGCGAGCAAGCTGGGTTCCACAAAGGATTCAGCACGATCGACCATATCCACACAACAACCAAGCTCATTGAAGTTTTTCCGTAGTTCAAGATGTTGTTCTAACATTTATTGATTTAAAGAAGGCCTTTCATTCTGTTGAAACTAAGCGGTCATTGAAGCCTTAGCCAATCAGAGCATTCAAACTAAATACATCAGGATCTTCTGTGAGCTGTATTAGGAATTCACTACCAGGACCTCAGCGTTGTACAAGGAAGTAATCATCGATGTCAAGGGAGGGTTAGGCAGAGTGACAACATTTCACCAAAACTCTTCAGTGCCACCCTCAAACGTTATGTGACGACTGGAATGGGAAGGAGTGGGAGTGAAGATGGTCAGCAAATACACCACCTCCGCTTTGCTGATGACATCATTCTAATATCACCAAACATTAGCCAAGTGGCACAAATGCTGGCCGACTTCGACAGTGAGTGTGGAAAGTTCGGACTACAGCTGAATTTCATGAAGACAGTGTTTATGAGAAACAGTCTCATTCCTGACCTTCCATTCGTCCTCAATGGAACGACCATCTCTGAATGCAACAGTTATGTGTACCTAGGTCGAGAAGTCAACATGACGAATGACCTGGCACCTGATTTGCGCAGGAGGAAGAGGGCGGCTTGGAACACCTTCAAGAGCGTTGAAGAAATAGCTAAGAGAATGAATAACCTCTGTCTCCAAGCACATCTCTTCGATTCCACTGTTCTTCCTGCATTAACATACGCCTCAGAGAACTGGGCCCTACAAAAACAGGATGAGAACACTATTTGGTTCTCCCAAAGAGGAATCGAAAGAGTTATGCTTGTAGTAACACACTTCACTCAAGTGGAAGAAAGAATTCGGACTTCCAACCTCCGTCAACGATCAAGAATCAGGGACACTGTCTCTTTTGCCCAGGCATCGAAAATCAGATGGGCTAGACACGTAATGAGATTTGGAGACAACCGCTGGACTAGAGCTGTTACTGACTGGATTCCACAGAACGTCAAAAGACCGTGTGGCCACCCACCTACAAGATTGTCAGACTTCTTCATCAAGATCCTGAACGATCAGTTTGAAGCTCTTCGTGTTCCTAGAACGAGCAGACGCCATTGGGCTACTCTAGCACGCAACAGGGATGAATGCGTTACTGGCGCCCGCTCGAGCAAATAGATGAGTAATGGCACTTCAAGTGATTAATTATGTTGAGCCACGGAATGCAAAGAGCTATATAAAGAAGTTATTGAAATTATACATGGACATAGTTAAACTAGAAATTGGATATTTTATTTCTTTCTTTCACTTACAAATTGAGTAGAAAATCTCACCTAAGAAAGAAGGTTAAGGAGGTTGGAGAAATAGGTCAAAAGGCTAAACCATGTGACACAGAGTTTGATCCCTGCACAAGCATCAGACCCATGCAGCCAGGCTGAAAATAGCCAGGGGTGCCCCAGAGGTCCTTTAACATTGCTTGAGAGGGGCTACTAAAAAAACTCAAAAACAGACTCAAAAAACATCTTTAAAACTAAAGAATGCCTTAAAATAGATTTTGCCATAAAGTAGATAGTGTGCATGGTTTATATGCAAAAAATAACCAAACATGGACTCGAGTGCCTTCATAAGAAGGGGAAATAATTAGGTGGTTTGAACCATATTTAGTGTTGCTGAGGTGTTTGGGTCTTGGGGAACCATCATTACCAGTGATCAGTTCTAGTCCTCTGCCATGCCAAGACAGGGCCATTTGAGCCATGTCCCTAGCACAGAGGAAATAATTTGAGAATTACTGTAAAAGGCATATTTTTCAGAGCAGTTTAGAGTTACTTTGTGAAAATGGTTTTGTCTGATCATCACTTTTAGTAACCTAAACCATGATAGAGAAGAAAGTATTTGGGAATTAGTACTCAAGTAGGGCTCTCAAATTCAGCTCATGTTTCACATAGATGAATCTGCACTTTCACTACAGATATGTCTGATATGAGAATATATGAAAAAATTCAACTGCATTTACAAAAAACTAATAAACGTCAATACAGTCATAGCAGTTGCACTTTATGGCCAATCTTGTTTTATTGAGATGTTTTATCACTACCTTTATTCAACTACCTTTGATTTATTTTGAAGCCTGCTTCCCCTTCTGGTTTCATTTGAAGCAACTCTCATACATTTTTTTATCCCAGAAATTTAAAAAATGAAGGAAGTTGAAGCGTGGTTTTTAATATTCCTACATCCAAGAAAATAATTGGCAAGATCAAAAACATTGCATTTAACCCACAAGATAATTTCTTGTCATATCCATTTGGAGTCCAGAACTTGCCATCCTAGATTCAGCACTACTCATAAATCACCACACTAGTTTAGGCAACTGCCTCAAAATCCTCTATATTTGATTTTAAGAAATTTGCTTGGTTTATTATATTTTGATACAGAAGACCTAGGAATGTTGATCATTTGTTGTGTTAGCAACTAGCTATGGAATCAAGGCATTATATAGCATTCGTCATCCTTTAACATGAATTATCTCTTAAACATAAACTTTAATAAAAATTTTTTTATTAATGGATTGGAAGCCAAACATAAGGATTATGCCTGGGCTTAACAATATTTCATTGTCTGGAGACAGATCCTAGATTATAAAGACTGCCTGGCCATCATAAAAATTTTAGTGCTCCTTTGTAATCTAAAAGGCTTGCCTTGTTTTGTCACTCTAAATTTTTTAAAGATTTTAAATAAGATGTATTTACCTAAAATTATATTTACTTTTATCCTAGTATAAACATAATATGCTTTATAGTTTTTATTGGATATAATGTACTGTGGAAATCAAATTAATTCAGTAATTGTATGTAGTAGGGTATTAGCTACTATGTAAGGACAGTTTTCACATAATTTTCAAAATAATGATATATTTGTAGATTATAATTCTAGAAGGGATAATCTCTGTTAAGGTGAGCTATGTTGCATAATTAGATATGTTTATTTTTAGATTTATTTTGTTTACTTATTATTTAGAAATCAAGTCGTTTGAGACAAAATGGATAGAATGTGAAGTTGATTATGCTAAATGAAATAAATGAAATAAGAAATTGAAAGACAGTTATCAGTTAGTTTCCCTCACATATTGAATATAAATGCAACAAACTGGTATAAGTGAAAACAATAAAACGTCTCCTAGTCTTAGTGAAAATTATGGTGGCTACCAGAAGAAATGGTAGGTTTTTCTGGGAGGACTGTTTAGAAGGTTCCATTGGGACATGGCATAGCACTGTAACTTTGGTAATGGACACATTGTGTCCTTTACACACAGAAATCTATATTCAAGAAATTTTATAGTGTTGATATTGCAAAATAATGATCATTAAATAAAGCAAATGTACTACATTTAAAGTTCTGTTATGTAATAACATATGAAATAAGTGTGTTATGGTACTAAAAGACTAGGTTTTGTAAGCAATCTTCATTTAAAACAAAAATTTGTATCAACAGGAAGTCTGTGTTGAATTGTCTCTAGTAGTCCACAAAAGGGAGACATTTGCTTTCATTTTTGTTTTTACTTAAAGTGGTACTTATTAAAACAATGAACATTTACATGATAGCAAATTTCTGAAAAAAATATGTACAGCTGTGGCGAAAATCTGTCTTGTATGTTTCCTCCAGGACTTCAAAAAAATAAGTATAATCTATATTTTATTTAATCAAATTACTTTGCATTCCATTGCACAATCTCCATTTTATTTGATAAATCTGAAGTGAAAACATTGCAAATAGAAATTAGATTAACAGGCATTAATGAAAAGACATCTTTACAATTTTCATAGATACATTTGAATCTTGTGAGAAAAAAAATCACTCATGTTTCTATTGACTGTAATTTCAAATTGTAAAAGAAACATTTAAATCCATAAAGTATAATAAGGACCTTTTTATGACCCACAGACGCACATCATGGGTTAAGTAAATCACTGGTGCTGACTTCTTAACTGCTCTAAATTGTTTACACTAAATTTTATTCAAGAATATTTAAATATTCAGAATAGCAGATACTATTAGGCTACAACATTTTTCATATATCACATGTAATAAGTGGATAACATTTCAGTAAAATATATAGAACAGTTACCGTTACATATAACTCAGTCAAATTTAATCTACTCTTCACATTATGAAGGGGAAAAAGGTTAAGACCACATAATTCAGGGAGAATATCAAATTTTACATCACACAATTTTGATAATGTTGGTATATTAATTGAGTAACATTTTGTCAAGGTTTGTCAAAATTACATAAATAAGAGTTTAATCTTTATACCAATATCTATTTTAATAATCCCATAATATTATTAAACATTTCTTTTTATGGTTTGCTTTCACATAATGCCTCATCTTTTCCTATCTTAACATTTTCTAAGTATAACAATTACCAGAAGAAAATCAGAATATTATAGAATTGTATGTTTCCATGCACAAATTCATAATATATAGGTCAAGTATATTTATTACCTTAATCTGTATTTTCTCATATGCAAATTATTTTGATCATTTTTTGGGGGGGGCCACACAGGTGTGCTCCTTGGCCCAAGGACCCAATGGGATGCTGGTAATCGAACACAGGTCAGCCACAAACAAGTGCCCTCTCCATCCCCCACTTTTATCATTCTTAACTTTAGCCAGAGGAATTTAAGTTAAAAAAATTTCACTCCTTTGTTCCAATGTATTAAAAATTCTTGCATTTACTTTATAAGGTCATTTTAATTTAATCAACCAACTTCTAAGCATATTAAATATTCTAAATATCTTTTTTCTAAGTAGTATAGAGCAATATTTGTTGTTGCTATTTTTGTTCCCTAGGTATTTATACAATATTGCAATGTCTTTTCTATTCCACTATTTTAAAGAAGTCCACCTTTCTTCCTCCTACTAGTATAATATAGAGTTATATGTGTTTGAGGATGTGGGAGGTCTAAGAGGTATACTTTGAAAGAACAGATTTTACAAGCCACTAATAGGTTCTTAGAATCTTGATAGCATAATATATGGTATTTAATGGATTTCGTTTTTTAAAAGCTATTATCCCACTTCCCTGCTAAATTAAATTCACCATCACCTGAAATTTAATTTTTCTCCAAGAGTTGCATATAATAAAGCATCTCACAAAGATTAAAGGAGGGAGGCAACTATATGCTGCATATCCCATGGAACTTGGTAAAATGATTTTTAAAAATTCAGTTTAAACTTCAATATTAAAATTCAGTTTAAACTTCAGTTTTAAAATTAAGTTTAAAATTCAATTTAAAATTCAGTTTGAAATTCAATTTTAAAATAGGCTAGCCTCTTATTAAAGAAACAATACTTATATTTGTAACTATTGCATATATATCAGTGAGAATCTCCTGGAATGACTTATAAAATCTCTACCATGACAAATTAAGTATCTAGGAAGTACCTTATTGAAAAACAGCACTTTATGTTGTATAGTGTCTAAGTTGAAGTTTTAAGGAGTTGTATATTACTAAATTGAATGCATCACTGTGATAGTACAGAATTCGGTGTCACAGATGGCCAGAGAAACTCTTCGACAGATCTAATTCATTCCATTAGATCCACTGGATAATCGCTGGTTAAGACTTTTGATTTGCATTTGGTGATAGAAAAATAATAAAGTACTAATGCAGACACACTCAAAAAACTTCTTTGGTTTGGAGATTCATTCATGGCTAGAAAAGAAAATACAGTTTACAACTTGTTCACAATTCAAAATGCCATTGTACACACAATTATGTAAAATGAGTTAAATATGTACACTAATATACTGCAATTTCTGTGGTATTTTTATTCAGTTGTGGTATGTTTATTCAGTAAATCATAGATTCTAACTTTATTATGGTTTTAAAATGATGACTCTAAGGAGAGGGGAAAGATTGAATACACTTCTTTGGTATAATACTTAGGTGTCAAACATGTCCAAATTTCTCTATTAAAGCAGATATTGCATATAAATTAATCTAAATATACTTTGAACTTGATAATCTCTATAGACTTAATAAATAAAGTTTGATATTTATTGCTACAGTTGTTTTTGCTCTGGGGCCACATTTAGCTGTGTTCTGGAATCATGCCTTGGTAGTACTGATGTGGTGCTTATCATGTGTGATGGGGGTTGAACCTAGGCTGGTTGCACGTATCGCAAAAGGTTTATCTGCTGTACTATCTCTCTGATCCCTCATGCATATTTTTCATGGAGAGGAAAGTAATGGCTACTAGAGATCCTTTATTTGACAGGTCCTCACACTGATACCACCAAAAAACAATTGTATATCAGTTTAAATTTCAGCATCAGTTTCATCCGATGTTAACTTTTGTTACTGCTTCACCTGGCTCTTGTGTTATCAAGAACCTTTATCTGTCAATGGTTAGCAATAAGTGATTGCTCAGTAATGACCTTAGAAAGACAGTGTATGTCATAGCTCAAAATGTTTTTGTTTTGGGAGTTGAATATTTGATTTTAGATGGAGAAGGACTTCAAAACTATAATTTTCAATGATTTCAAAAATTACACTCAATGTCTCTTTTGCAAACCACAGCACCCAAAAGGAGAGAAAGAACAAAAGGGAATGCCCTGCCACAGAGGCAGGGTGGGATGAGGAGGGCATGGGGAGTGGGAGAGATACTGGGATCAGTGGTGATGGAGAATGGGCACTGGTGGAGGGATCGGTACTAGATCATTGTATAACTGAAACCCAAGCACAAAAATTTATGTCTACAACTGTACCTCATGGTGTTTCACTAATAAAAATTTTTAAAAAATTACTCCAAATGTTTGGCTTCTTCTAAAGAAAAATTTTAGCTCTTTAATACAAGATGCTTAGCTCTATTGTCTGTATATATGTGTGTGTGCTTGTGTGTAGTGTGAGTTTTAAAGTTCTTCAAAGTTTTTCAGAATAATTGACATTTGTATATTCATTTCTTATCACAGAAAATGTATCTTTTTTATAGAGGTCAGTCTCTACAGTGCTCTGTGCATCCTGTTGGTGTGGGTCTGAGTGCTTAGGCTCTGAGTTGGTTGAAGACCACCATAATTGCACTTGGTGTTGCTGTTGAGTTGAACATGCCCAGGATCATACATAGAGCATCATTTATGCTATATAGTATGCATGTGCTTCACTACTTGAGTTTCAGTCCTGGTATACTTAAGATTTCTATACAAATATAAAACAGATCTAAACAGGGTACATATAAGCATAGAGATAAATCAACTTTCCCAACTAAATATATATGTGAATCCCCCACACACATGCAAACACATCACTTTGGGTGGAGAGTTGTATATAGTGGGTAAAGTGCTTGCCTTGCATGCAGCCAGCCTGGGTTTGATCCCCAATGCTACATATCATCCCAGCATGGTCAGAAGTGATCCCTCAGTACATAGCAAGGAGTAAACCCTGAGAGGAGATGGGTGTGGCCCAAAAACCAATAGAAAAAAAGAAACAGCAGTATATTGATACCCTAGTAATCCTCCTTACGCCCCTTTTTCCATTAGTCTCTCCATCAAAGATAACCAATTAGTACCTTTAGTAACCATAGATTAGTTTTTCTGATTTTTTAAAGATATTTAGCACAACAAAAGACTACTTTTTACAAATGTTAAAGTCAAGTTACATATGCTTTTAGAGCTGAAATTCTCAACATTCTCTCTGTCCCTTGCAATTGACGGATATCATATATTTTCATAACTGATTGATGGCATATTCTTAGAATTTCTTTGCACTGGTATATTATTGAGTAAATTCCCAGGTCATTCTGTTGTATTAGCAAGGTTTCTCAACCTCAACAGTATTAACATTTTAGAATAGATAATTCTTTGTTGTGGGGTTGTTTCTTCCACATTTTAGGATATTTAGCCGCATACTTGGCTTCCACTCATTAGATAATACCAATAGTATTCAGTCTCCAGTTGTGAAAACAAATAAGTCTGCACCTAGTCCATGTTTAATGGGTACTGCTTCAAAAGTTAAAGATACAATAAAATAAATATATATACATATATATTTAGTTTTAAGTCATTTACAAGAAAATGTATTAGTAATCCTACCTTTTAGCAATATATTGGACTTCTTAGAAAAATAATAAAGTCCCATATTATATATTCATATTCATATCTGAGGGCATTACAAAATGTAAATTGTGACAGCATTCTTTATTTAGAAAGAAATACACCCTATTTATTAATCCTAGTAACTTACTATATATGCACATATATATAAATATATCAAAATTTTAAGACATTCTGGAAAATCATGCCTTATCTCCATCCTCATTACTATAAATGTCTTCCACTTTTTTACCTGCATTAGGAGAAACAAACCTAACTTCTGGAAAACCTGAAATTAGCTCAATAGTCCCTAATACACGCAAGGAAATAAAATTAATAGTATATTGTCAATGTTAGTCACTTTTCTCTTTGGAATGAAAAATCATACCTAGTATATCATAGTTTGGACAACCGATTGTATTGTCTCATACATGATTCATTTTAAAGATATTTTTTAATTCCTACTATATGTAGCAATAAAAGAAACATCATTTTGGGAATAGTTGCAGATATTTTGCCACACACACTGATGCTTAGGGTATACTCCCACTCCTGTGGATCATCCTTGGAAATTCTCAGGCAATATCCATGAAAGAGTGAACCAAAACAGACCACATGCAAGCATGTGCCTTAATCCATTCTGTCTTTCCAGCTAGAGAAACATGTCTTCATAGAAAAAAACTCTGAGATTTTTGTTTATTTTTGGTATATTGCTACATTTTGCTAGAATTTTCTGTTGATTACAAATACGCAAGTGAACTTACACAACTCCATTTATCTTCCGTTTTCTCAATAACAATAGTCTGTGTGTCACTACCTGGTGGTATATATTCATAGTCATCATAGAGGAGGCCTAGAATAGGATATTGTGTCCTATACCTATAAAGAAGAAAAGTTAGTTTATAAGCTGCACAAGAAATACTTCATACATTTTAGTCACTCTCAGCTTAATTATCTTTATAATTAATTTGCTTTTTTAAAAACTTTGAACTATTTCTTTAAACCAAATCCTTTCTAATGTAATAGCTTTGCTGTTATTTTCAAAGGATTAGTAAGAAATACGTAATTCTGGCAATGATAGAACACTGGCAGTACAAAACAGTGATTCCAGAGAAGTCACAAAAGTAAGGTGATAGAATTTAAGTCAAGCGCTTGCCAAGTCATCAAGCATTTGTGTCAGAAAGCCATAAAAAAGAAAATACATAAATAGATAGGGAGAGACTAGCTGATAGTTCTCCACAGGTCTTTGACTATTGTTGATCATAATGGAAGCTACTGATGTTGAGGGAAGAAAGCTGAAAATCCCAAGCTCTCACACAGGGAAGTGAGTTTATTTTCCAATAACCAAAGTGGAAACAATTACTAATACGAGGGCCGTCGGATAGAGACTACAGAAGTTTTGCCTTAGTAGTGAGATGATAATAGTATCAGATCACAAATTGTTCTAATAGAGTTTAAAGGAAATATTGTAAAAAATTAAATTCTTTCCAAGAACAAATATCATCTCAGACATCACTGTAAATAATAAGTGAAACCCTAAAATTCTAAAAATCAAGTATATAATATTACCATACAAGTCATTCAGTAAAATATAATGAAACAAGACATTAATAAAGAGAAAAATCAGTAAAATCAGATCAAAAAATGAAACATTTTGTATTGGGTAGTAATTGTAGCATTGTATCTCTAAAGCACATTCAGTTTTATAAATGAATCAAATAAGTTTTATAAATGAATCAAATAAGTAAGTAAATATGAGCATATATGAAATGGCAGATAAAACAGCTATATTGTCAGATTAGAAATATAAAAAAATATAAAACCATAGGTTATGTAAGGAACGGTCATGGTCCTTCCGTTGTTCATCGATTTGCTCGAGCGGGCCCAGTGACATTGTGAGACTTGTTACTCATGTTTGGCATATCGAATACGTCACGGGTAGCTTGCCAGGCTTTGCCGTGCGGGCTGAGATAACTCTCGGTAACTTGCCGGGCTCTCTGAGAGGGGCAGAGGAATCGAACTCAGGTTGGCTGTGTTGGCTGCATGTAAGGCAAACACCCTACCCGCTGTGCTATCGCTCCAGCCCCATGTAAAGAACATGACCTACAAAAATATGAATTATATTATAAGAGATAATAGATTAGACACCAAAGAAAAATGTTATATTTGAAAATAGACTAAAATTATAAAAAAAAACACCATGAGGCTATATGAATGCAAAAACCAAGATTATGAGTTAGCTATAGAAAACATCAGGTCTTCTCAACTTTATTTTAATCACATGTAATTAAGATCCAACAGAATTGGCAAAACACAAAAATGTAATAGAAATAATTACCAAATTGTTTCTAAATTTGGTTAAAGCTGTAATCACAAACACCCAAAAAGTTCAGTAAACCACTAGAAAAATAATAATGAAGAGGAACAAAGAGATGCATGTTATTATCAAATTTCTGGAAAATCAATGGTAACAAGAGAATACTACAAATACCTAGAGATAGGAGAACATCCACACATTTATTTATCCACACAGGAAAAACCATAAGATAAACAGAAAAAATTTTGTCAAGTACAGCTAAAGTCAGAAGACAGGTGGAAGGCATATTAAGGATGAAAGGAAGAAAATTTATATACTATTTTATAGACGGAAAAATAGCATTGAATAGTGGAGGGAAAGTAAGTTTGTTTCCAGACACTAAAAAGCTAAGTCTTCAGCAGAGCAATATAACAGGTAATATTAAAGGAAATCCTTCAGGAGGAGGGAAATAATATCATGTAAATTTGGATTGAAAACAATGAAAAGCACACCCTAAATGATAAATATGTGATGAATAAAAGTTTATCATAAAATTAGGCACTTAAGATATTGTAAATATTGCTTCTTTTGGGGGCAAGAGGTTAAACCCAGAGTTGCTCTTGGCTAACTCCTGTATCTATGCCCCTGATGATACTCTGAGGACCATATGCATTTCTGGGGATTGAACCAGTGTTGGGGGAGTGCAAGGTAAGTGTCTTAAACCCTGTGCTATCTCTCTGATCTATAAATATTTACTATTGGCGGAGGCCAGACAAAGAATTCTTAGAGCACACTTCTATCTCATGGTCAAACTATACCCTCATAAAAATAAATATGGAACCTGCTGCTTTTAGCAGTAAATGTCACTGAATCTAGCCGTTCCCCTAAGGAGAGGAACCCCGTTTGTGGAATTATAAGAAAAGTGAAGAAATAGAATGGAATAGAAGGCACATGGAAGAGTGCAGTGTAGTTTGGGCCCCAATTGCCCAGGAACAGTTTTCAGTTGCAAGTTTCTAATGTACTGCAGAACCGGAGGGCTTCTGCAGAGGTCCCAGCTGGGTTCTCACATTCACATTCACTGAAAACCTAGATAGCCAGTTAGATTTTCACATTCATTGAATATGGAAACGTGACTAAGAATTGGACCCTAAGACAGAATGAACACTGTCTCTTACTGCTGGCAGAATGGCAGGGTCTCTCCATTCTTTAGATGAACCCCTCCATCTCAAGCCAGTAGCAGAGCAAGCTGGGACCTGTGTGACACTTAGCCAAACCAAAATACCCAGTCCTTCCCAGTCACTGTTATCTATTACAAAGAAGGCCACACTTCTTGAAGCAGTACCATCTGTCAAGGGACCCACACCAGATGAAAGGACATTCAGTTCTTGAGAAAAGTGTGGAGATGGAGACTCCAACTGTCTCTAGTTCAGTTGACCAGATAGAATGCTATCCACACACTTAGACATTAGGACAGACCACTCTATGAACAGAGCAAATGTGTGTCTGTTAGGGAAAGACTACGTAGAACCACCAATTGCTGCCAATTGTTGCTGTATGTAGACCTTCATAGTCAGTGCTCAGCACTATGGAGCATTGATGATTTGAAGCCTAAGTTTCCCAAGATTGAGTGAATATGGTTCACAACTATTTTTGGACATGTACAAGCCCCAGTTCTCTAGTCACCAATGTCCATATGCTTGAAACAAGTGAAAAAGTATTCAAGGCTTCCAGAAATCAAGTACACCAGGCAGATCAACATACCCATTCAAACTTAGAACGAACCTTTCAAAGGATAAGCATGATTGTAGACCTTTGGTAAATTTTCAAACTTGTTAAAGGTAATACTGAAACATTTTGGATAAACATGAAATGGAGCGAATACCCATATTGCTGGATAGTGACAAAAGTCAAGGTCTCCTTACCAGGACACAAGTCATTCATTCAAAAAGATAGATGGACATGTTAACTGAAGCACTATTTACAATGTCTAAGATATGAAATGCAAGTGCCCTACAAATAGAATAAAGAAATTGAATATGTAATAGTATGTAATATTGAATAAAGAAATTGTTATATGTAATAGTATGTATATATGTGATATATAATAGAGTGTATATATACATATACAAATATATATATAAAATAGAATACTCAGATGTAAAACTAGATGGTATCTTGGTATCTTGCATTTTGTGACAAATTAGATGGGACTAAAAGGGTCATACTAAGTAAAATAAGTCAGTACAAATGCTGGATGACATTGACACGCATTCATATTTGTTACATAAACCTAGGGAATGTACAAATGTCCAATGAAAACAAACCCTTGGACTTTGACAGAACTGAGGTCACCATGTGGGTTGGGAGTGTAGACAGGTGGGAAGTGAGGGGGTTGTCTAGAAATGACTAGATACAGTGGTGGAAATATTTTGCACTTTGTTGGTACTTTAAATACGAAAACATAAACATCATGATTATAAATCTTGTCATCTCAATGATAATAAAATAAATAATTGACTATAAAATTAAAATAATAATCTAGGAAGCCATGGATATAAGTCCTGGGCCAGAGCACATTCCTGAGATACAGAAGCTCCAGTATCCACTGGGGTCCACCTCCATTACAGTGGCTCTGGTGGCATTCAGTACTGCTCAGGAGACTATAATTTTTTTAAAGTACACTTCTTTGATTTGGCACCAAAGCATAGTACAGCCACCTTGTATGCCGCTGACCCAGGTTCAATCCCTGGCATCCCACTGACCACCACCAAGAATGATTCTTGAGCACAGAGCCAAGTGTTGCCCAAAATCAAACAAAAAAAAACAATTCATTGATCCATCAAACATCAAAACAGATAAGACTACTGTATATCTATGATAAAAATAACAAAAATTAGGTAATTAGGTAGGGAAAATTTAAGCATGCCCTGATAAAGTTTGTATTTCATACTTGATGAGATACATTATTTGAGGTTAGACTCTGGTAAGTCAAAGAAATTATTGTAAACCATAAAACAGGAGTAGCACATAAGGTTGTATGTAGAAGGCAACCAATCTCAATTAACAAACTATAAACATAGAAGGTTTTACTTGTAGCAACGTCTTAGTAATCTCTTATACACGGACTTAGTGTTTCATGGTAAGATAAAGAAGTCTTCACTAACTTTCTTCAAACATTTTTTTGATCATTCTGTTAGTAAGCTATTGATAACAAACTATATAAAATAAATTATTGAGGGCCTGCTATGGGGGCAGACTTAAGGAGTTGTTGGGAAACTTGGAGACAATGGTGCAGGGAAGGTGTAATGGTGGTAGTATTGGTATTCGAATATTGAATGCCTGTAACAAATCATCACAAACAACTTTGTAATACACTGTTTGTATAAAGTGTAAGGGAAAATAAAATTTAAAAATATGATAAAAAAAACCATATCAACTTATAGGGAACACATCGGTGGTTTCTAGTGACAGGGAAAGTATGAGGAGTAGGCAACATAGGTAAATTCAGTCTAATGGAACAATTTTCTCTTATAAAATATGTGCTGGGGATACAAAGTACAGCATGGCAACTATGGTTAGCAAT